CAACGCCGCCGCCGCTGCAGCCCAGGTCCCAGCCGGTCCTTCAGCAGCCGCAGCCGCAACCACAGTCTCCTGCCTGGTCCCGGGGTCGCCCCCCCGAGCGGCCTCTCCGGTCTCCTGCCTGGTCCCGGGGTCGCCCACCCGAGCGGCCTCCCCGGACTCGCCCCATGGACTAGGACTTTGTTTTTCGGGTGGTTTTTTTTTATTTCTGTTCTTTTGCCTGTTTGGTCCGGGTTCCCCTTGTCAGTGTTGTGGTCCCTGTGGTTGTCTTGTTTTTGGGGGTTTTGTTTTTTTTTTTTTCTTTGTGCCCTCCTGCCTGGCCCCCTCCTCCCTCCCTGCTTGTTCCTGTTTTGGTTTGTGTTTGCCTGTCTGGGAGCCATTCTTGTGGGGGGGGGGCACCACGCGCCATTTGAAACATGATTAAAATAGATTGTATAAATGTTTTGATCCATGTTCAAACAGTGCATTGACTTTTTTTTATTTTTTTTTTTTATATATACTTACGTTATTTGGATGCAAATGTGCTGCATTTACACTCTGTGCAAGTTGGTTTTCCTGCCCATGTCATTGCTGGCACATCCAGAGTCACACAGCACATGGCAAGCTGTGTGACAAAGAGGTTATTTGTCAACACTATTAATAACTGATATCGGAATTAAGGGTACTTAATTTGTTTGTACACTCTTAACATTGGTTTAACTGTTTTATACTTTTGAGTAGAAAGTATCTTTTCTTCCATGCCTGTGATCCTACAGTTTAAGCACCAATATACTGGTAGGCTAGTGGTTAAGGCGCAGCGCTCTCACCGCTGAGGCCTGGGTTCAAATCTGGGTTGCAGCAAGAAGGGCATCTGGTGTAAAACACGTGCCAAATGTCAAAATGAGCAAGATTAGCTGTGGTGACCCCCAAACGGAAAAAGCAGAAAGTCACTTTCTTTATACTGCAAATGTATATTTTGCAATTGTTTCTTCTATTTAACTGCAGTGTAGAAACAATTCTGTATTTGACTCGAAGGTATTCCAGTCTTACCGTGAATATAATCTTTGACTTCTGTCACTTTTTGTAGAGAGCTGTCGAGTGTACAGTTGAGCTTGTTTTCTCTTCTTGTAAAGCTTTGAAGGTGTCTTTCGCTGCTGCTCCTGTGGACAGTAAGTTTCTCTTGGTGTGTTCAAGTGAGTATCTTTTGACCCTGTGCAGACCCCACAACCTGGAAGTGTATTTTTATACTTACGGGGTGGTTTCTCGAAAATCCCCTACAAGTTACTTTCACTACAGTCAGGGGGGTGGCAAGTGTGACACCAGAGCCCTAAAGTTGATGTGCCCTTATAGGGCTGCAGAGTTATAAGGAGTGCCTGTCACTCACAATGAAAGTTTTCCTGATAGCTGGCTGTTAGGCTCCATGCTAGACAATCTTGGTAGAACAGTGTCAGTGCTTGGACAACTGAGCAGACCCAGCTCTCAGAGGTGGCTGCCCTTACAAGCCAGCTGGGCCAGCCAACGCTCAACCTGAGTAAATACAGTGCAGATGCTGTGTGTCAAACCACATATCTGTTCATTGCCTGGGTGAGGATAGGATTCAGGGATACTTAAAGGTAGTTTATGTCTGGAAAATGGTGTTGCTTATTGTGGGGCTCTGAAGGTTTAAGACGCCATGGCCTTACACCCCCTTCTTTGGGGCCAAATAATGGGTAAACATCATTTAACTTGTACACTGGGCTTCTATATAACTGCCCTCCCGATCTTTGACACATTTAATTGTGTATTATTGACTCCACAGAGTTATTTTATTCAGGCCAAGCTGCTACCAGTTTTGTGTTGTGGCTATTAATGCAAAAATGAATCCAAACAGAATCCCAAATTCTTCTACACTGCCATGACACAGGTAGATAAGGAACCTGAGAGATTTGCCTTTACAGGGAACATGACACATATTATGATTAACAAATGCACTAAACATAACAAACATGCCAGAACCAGGAGAGGAGGGTATGAAACGATGCTGGTTCTCTAACATACAGCAGATTTGCCTTCACTTTCCCTTTATAAAATGTCCAATGCACTAAAAATAAACAGACTCACATAACATGTTTTCCAATGTGGCAGTAAACGTAATCTTGTATAAGATAGACTATAACTTTCTGGTGCTGTGTGATGTGGATAGTAATGACTAGAGGTGACCAGTGGGTGGCAGTATGTTACACTTGCTATGGATTTGTACCTAATCCAATTTTTCCCAGTTGAAGGCAGACCCTACTAGAAGCTGACTGTTATGTAACTGAGAACGGTGGAGAACTGTTGCAATATCTGAAAGTTGATAGGCCTGTTTTCTGCGGCAAAGATCCAGGTTCCCCTCAGTTTAAATAGTTTGACTAAGATGGTGAGTCAGTTCACTTTTAAACGGAACTTAACATAAGTGGCTCTTTCTGTAATTTAAAGCATATAGGCTATGGGTTATATCGTGGAATGGTTAACAACCTAATTGTATTACTGTAAAGTCCATTGGTTTCACTTTCAACCTTGGTCCCGATTTCATAACTTTATAGATTAGGTTATTTAACTGTGATTTTATATTGTCCTTTAACTAATTGTATCATTTATTTCCTGCGCTGGTAAGATCCAGTAGCTTTTTGGTACCCTACGTTATTCTGTTCTTTTAGTAAAAAGGTGGGAAAAGAACTAATAAATAGATGGCCTTTATTAGTGAAGTATAGCTATACATGATTCATCACGCACACGTGTTAGGTGCAGGTAACTTCATTTGAACCCGGTTTCTACGCATAACCTAGTGTTTATGTTTCTTAATATAAAATCCTTAATTATCTTGGTAATGAAAAACTTCATACATGAATATAAAGATTCTAAATCACCCCCTTTCTGGACTTGTTGTCAAATACTTATCATAGACTAAAGCCTTGGAAAAGATGAATAAAATCCATGCTCTAAATCTTAATTAATTATTAATGAATTATAAACTAAACTAACCCCTTGCCATGCCCCTTTTGTTGCAGTTGTCCCCCCTCCTTTTCTGTATTCTGTTCTTTCATCAATTATTTTAGAAAAACATTACCTGTTCAGATAATTCTTTATCTGTATTCTGCTCAGAATTGTAACGGCATTAAGTAGATATTTCCTGTAAGCCACTTTTAAGATTCAGTTGTATAGCAGTCAGTCAGTATTTTCAATTTTAAAAGTTTATGTTGATAGGTTTATCTCACATGACTTTATATTTCTTTCTGTGCATGTCAATCACAACATGTTCACGCCTTTCTATCAGCTATTGGCTGGAGAAGGCGGGACTAAAATATGGTAGGCTGAGCAGGGAAAGGGAGGAGTGAGGAAGCAGCAATTACAATGGTCCATGCAGCATTATTCACTGAAATTTCCAGAACATCGTATTAAACAAAGGACGAGGTTGGTGAATGAAAGTTACTTCATTTGCAACCCCCCTGTAGTTATATCTTCTTTCAACCATTATTACTTTGCAGGCGCCAAACAAAATGATGAAATTCAAGCATATGCAAATGACTCAGTAAAAGAGATCTTATTTCTGAATATATTTAATTACAAATTTGAATGTATTTCATTAAAAATGTAATAGTTACAAAAACAGAAACAAGTCAAATTCTCAGAGTTTATATAATGTTATTAATTGTTGTCTGTGATTTTATATAAGCAGCTGATACAATGTAGACTGAGCCACACTGGCCTACATTAAATACATAAAAACTAACACTATTTAAGAAAGTGGAGTTATGTTTCAATTAAACATTGATTTAAAGAAGCAATGTATCTTACAAAAATAATTAAGAAAGCAGAGAAGAGTT